TCGTCCCTAGCGTCTATGCTGTAAAATGGAGGGCTGCATATCAGCATTCATCAACTGCTGCTTTGTTTTGTGTTCAAATACCCGCCATCGTTGGTTATGCTTCAGGAGGAATGCTTTTCTCAAAGCATGTGGCTGCGCTGCGGCTTAGGGTGATGCAAAATCACTACATACAAGCGCATCTAACAATCTAGCAGTGTAGCAGGGCCTGAGCTACGAGTTTAGTATTTAGGGAGAGGAATTAACTTTTGTCACAACAATTGCCCAAATTCCTCCCATTCCGGTGAAATGTAGCAAGGCAAGCACTTTGGCACAGTAATCACATCTCTGGACACTTGGATAGAATCAGAACAAAAATATGACTCCGACAGGCAACATTGATTCCCCGTCATGATCATGAGGCGCATGGCTAACCACGCTACAAACCGCAGCATGATCTTCTATGTGACAGATGAATGGGTGAAAAGGGAAAAAGGGGACAGCGTTTTGCCTTTTTTTTTTTCTTCTATTAGATTGCTTTGAGGACCTACTGTTCATAACCTTGTGAATCCTTCCTTCCTTTCACTCGCACAGCTGTGACCCAAGAATGCGACTTTAGCGCATCGACTCATTATTGAACTCAATGTGAACAGCACAATGCGATAGGGAAGTGCATCGCATTCAAGCCAGGTGTAGCACGATTGCCCCGCATGCAGAATCCCTGTCGCAAAAGCCCCGTGTCATATCAGAACATTTCAAAAACCCCGCGTTCAATTACCCCGTCCCGTATTCCCGGCATGCCGAAAGCCCCGTCCTCACTGCCCCCGTCCCAAATTCCTCGTCACGGTCTACCCTGCATTGTTCAATATATATTAACCTAGTCTGTTGAGTGTCTATGAAATGTATCAGTGAAGGCCGTGGCTGGAGTTCCGTCCAGACGGAAAATCGGCAAACCCTGTAGAGTTCCGTCCAGACGGAACGACAGTTGCCGCTGGAGTTCCGTCCAGACGGAAGACAAACGCGCCACTGAAGCTCCGTCCAGCACGGGTCCCTAGATGATCCCTAGATGCTCCACCCCTGACCGATTTTCGGAGTAACAGCTGACAATGTTCCTATGTTAATTTTATTTAGTCCCTTTCCTTTTAAAGCTAAATTCACTTGTCCCAGCAATCCTATAACATGTGCACTCCTTCCTAGAAAACAGTTTGTCCCACCTCTGCAAACCACGCACCTCCGGCCTCTATTACCTCATATATCCATTAAAGATCTCCTCCCATGCAGGTATTTCTTTCGTTGCTTTTTTTTTTTTTTAAGAGTATGTAGTTACTGGGGGTTCGCCACAGAGAATGCGATGGATATCATTTTCAAAGCTTTATTTAGGAATGACAACCATTCTAATGCAAGACCAGAGGCTGAGTGCATTCTTGTAATGAAGGAGCACTCCCTGTCTCCCCTTCCCACGCCATTTCTCCTTGATTGCGGCATATAACTTTGTAATGGGGTTCGCATAATAAGAACCTGGTATTGTGGCTCCCACCTTGTAAATAACGAAAAAAGAAAAAAAACAAAAAAAAAACGCCCTTGGCATTTCTCCCAAAAAAAATGACCTAGAGCTTGTTATTTTCCCTTTAGCGTGGACACGAGAAGGAACCATATTCTCTATTGAGCCCTCGGGACGGAACAAAAGGGGCTCTACTGCAGGCTTGTGGTTGTTCCGTCTGGATGGAACCCTACTGGGCCTGCTATCCTTGTCTGGACGGAACTCTGCTGGGCCCGCTATCGGTCCGTCTGGACGGAACTGTGCTGAGCCTGCTATCGTTCCGTCTGGTCGGAACTCTACTGCGTCTGCTCCTGTTCCGTCTGGACGGAACTCTAGACACTCCGTTCAGTGAAAGGAACAAAATAAGATTAATTGCATTAATCTGCATCACCAGCGATGCACTCTGCTGTCATGGAGGAAGCTCAGGCTCAGACTTTATCTACCTAGATGGGAATAAATATCTCTAGAATGGAACTGGTGTTTGGTGCTGTGATAAGTATGGCGCCATGAGCTGTGGATTAACAGTTTGGACAGAAATCATTTCGTCGGAACTAGCCATGATTCCGCGCCTGCTTCAGAGCCGACTAAAGCTTTGCTTCAATGTTTATTGATAAAAGCCGTAACTTTAAATGTTTTTCCAGTGACTGATATTTTCTGTTTGTTTTGACTATTAACGCCTCAAGACGACGAACAGCTTTATCCAATTATTCTTTACTATAGAATCCCGGGTACGGCATGTTTACGTTAAAAAAACTCGCGTGCACACTTCTTTTAGTTAGAAGCAGAATGCCCCGCCCGCTGTCACGTTGAGGACCCGGTCACCTGACACGGTGGATTCGAGTCATGGGCTTCTGAAACCGGGGCTTTTGAAAGCGGGGCAAAAAGAGCGGGGTGTTTGACATTTGACACGGGGCTTTTGACATCGGGTGCTTTTGTGCACCACCCTTCAAGCCGCTGGATGGAGGTGGATTGAGACGGCGAATGCGCATACCCCGCGTGTTTGCCTGCAAATTATTTCTCTAGAAGAAACGTTAATTGGAAATCACGACTGGCGCTTTGGACGGAGTCCCTATAAAGGCTCCGGCGCAAGCAGGAACGGCGTCGAGAGCTCCGAGTACCGCGGAACGTGCAGCTCCTACCCACGTAGCACGATAACGTTCTGAGAACATTCCGGCAATGTGCAAAAGAACATAGGCAACATACTTGGAATGTGAGAAATTTATGTAAGAACATTCTATCAACGTTGTCAGAATGTGGCGCAGGCACTTTTCGCTACATTCGGGGAATGTTTTCTGAGGGACATTCTTAGAACGTTCTGAGAACGACATATTCGAATATCCTAACAAGTTTCTAAGAACGTTCTCAGAACATCCAAAGAACTTTTGTAACTTTCTTGAAATGTTGCCAATTTATGCAGGGACATCCTTTCAATCTCCTCAGAACATGGCGTGGGTACATCGCTGCATTCAGGGAACATTCTCCGAGGACTATTTACGAAGATTCTACAATTACGGCTTGCTTAGGCTACAACCCAATGAGCCGCACTACATATATGGATGAGGAAGAAGAAGTTTTCGTTTCGGGCGGACGTGATTTTCTCAACGCTCCACCAAAACCAGTTTCTACATTCCGTTCGGGGGGTGTCAGCCCCCCAGCGCAACCCCAATCATCGAGGAGAATGCCATGGGCAATCAAGGGACCCTCGGTCCACCGATTCTGAACCCGGCGGAGTCCATATCGGCAAATTCGGAAATCGAGGAGATGGAGTCAGCGGTAAGCCTAATATCTGGCACCTGCGGGCCCCAGACCCCGGCGAATGCAACGCAGTCACCGACGTCCGATGTCACGACTATTGACATACAACTTGACACGGGACTTCTCAGGCATCTGGGAATTTCAAAAGAAGACATAGGAAGACTGATAACTGAACTTCTGGTCCACTACGCGCAAGGCACGTTGAATCTAAGAAGCGCCATTCCACAAGATGTCCCAAACGAAGGGACAGCGACCCAGCCAACGCCCGACTGCAAAATGGTCTACCATCCACCTTCGAATGATTTTCCGGCACTGAACGACCCGCAAGGTAAAACGAACGCTTCTCTCGGAGTGTCGCAAGCTACGCTTGCCGGTGAAGGAAACGGCTTTTTAGACCATGTTTCCCAGCTAGACAATTGGCAAGTGAGCAGAAACAAGCGTCGACGCAAACGACCTACGACGCCAACAGAAAATCTAGATGTGAAAGCGTCAGATGAGACCGAAGAAAAGACAAAAGGCCAAGCACCTACACAAACGGTGGTACTCAAGCCTATATGCCGCGAGGATGTCAAAACATTCGGATCAAGAGAGATTAAGAATGCTGTGGAAAAAGCGGGAATTACGTGCGAGGAAGAATATAGGATACAAATCCAACCCAAGACGAACACGATCGCAATAACCACACGCAACGAACAGACGACAGAAAAACTCCTTAAAATCACAGAGCTGAACAAGAAAGACAAAGCATACGCCCTGCGACCATACAAAGCCATGGGAAATAATCACAGTAGAGGGGTAATTTATCTCAACGGAGATGCCAGTGAAGAGACCCCCGAGACTCTGTTAGCCGATCTGGAGTGCCGGACAGCAAAAGTCGTTTACGCAAGGCTTATGGGAAAAGATAGTAATGCTGTAGTCATCACCTTCGAGGGCACCCGGCTGCCTAAAAAGGTAGTCTTCTCTAGACAAATCTTCAACGTAAAACCCTACAGACCAAGACCGATAGTGTGCTATAACTGCCATGGCCTAGGTCATATGACCGACGTCTGCCCATGCCGCGAGCGTCGATGTGGATCTTGTGGCTACATCCACGAAGAGGATATGGAGGACTGCAAAAGGGAACCGCAGTGTCGAAATTGCAACGGACCCCATGTTGCTACGAGCAAGGACTGCCCCAAGCGCAAGATTCCAGGGAAGAAATCTTCACAGCTAAGACAACCACTGCGACCGCAGAGGACCAGCTATGCGGATGCGATTAAAGCAGTCGATTCGACACAATCCACGGTCCAAGTCAACAGTTGTGACCCGAGCGGTTCACAGGAACGGGCTTCAACGGACTGGGTTCCAGACTGGGCCAAGATAATCGCCAATGAAAACAAGCCAAAACCGCAGCCGCAGCTCACTGAAACGAAAGAGAAAGACACGGCACGGGTGGACGAACGGCACGCTACCAAAGCCGAACTGAAACGAATAGAGACCAAGGTAGACACAGGATTCGGCGTCATATTCCAAGTGCTAGAAGAAATCCGCAAAGACTTATTTGAACTGAAAAAAGACCTACTGCCTGGACGCTAAAACCCAAACGATTGGACGGACTACCACGAAAAAGACCCGGATCACTCAATGGAATTGCTCCTCTTTCCAGGCCCGAGGGGCAGAACTTAAGCTCCGCTTTGAACACCAATCCCCGCCTCAGGTTTTACTCCTACAAGAGACCAGAACGCCCCACATGACGCTACCGTGCTATAACTTCTACACCGTACCTACAATACGAACGCGTCCTAGTTATAGGGAGAAGTGCCCCATGGAGAAAAAAGGCTGGGCAGCTGTGGGTGTGCTTAGACACATCCCTCAGGCACAACTGGACACATCAAAACTCTGCTCAGAAGAAAGAGAGGTGGTTGCGGTGCGCCTTAAAAATGGCAAGCAGCGACTTGTGGTGGCCTCAGTCTACATTAGACCTAAGGCCAAACCAGAAGAAGGAGAAACAAAAAGCTGGATCCGCGATCTGTCAGAGCTGGCCGATAAAGATCAGCTGGTCATCGGAGGTGATTTTAATGCTCAACATAGGAATTGGGGTTACCGTATTAACACCAGGAAGGGTAGGGACATCGTCGAAGCCATGGAGGAGATTGGGCTCACACTACAAAACGAAAGTGGTGTTAAGACCAGGCTAGCCAAGCAAGCCCGGCAACATGACACCACTCCTGACCTAACGTGGGCCTCAAAGTCCCTGCCTATCCGATGGACTCCATGGAGGGACAATCTAGGCAGCGATCACTACCCCATAGATGTTACCGTAGAGCAGCATAAGGACGGCAGGACCAAAGAAGCACGACCGATCATCCGATGGGACCACTTCAGGGAGATACTACTACAGAACCTTGACGAGAAAAGCAGCATTGAGGCAAGCATCCAGCAGGCGATGTCAAAGGCTAGAACCACAGTCATGGTCAAGCCTGGAGACCCAACACCAGACATGCACCTCTTAAACTTGTGGGCTAGCAGACTGCAGGCCTTGCAACGTTTCAGAAGGAATAGAACCGCACGACACAAGGTTAAGCTCAATCTAGCGTCGGCAAGAGCAACCAGGTACAGCAAAGAACTCAGCCGACACAAGTGGAGGTCTCACTGCGAGTCCTTTAATGCAAGAACCGGACTCGGCAAGGCCTGGCGCACGTACCGCGGCATGGAAGCGAAGAAAAGACGCACAAGAAATGCAGCGCAGAATCTTGCACTTCGATTAAACATAACGGAAGACGAGCTTGCCACCCAAGCCGCTCAGCTATTCTTCCCTCGGGCAAACCTGCATGACAGAACGATGAGGCACAACCGGAGAGGTTGGAGGGTCCGCCCACCGAAAGAACCTGGCATGGATGAAGTGATCAACATGGGTGAGCTCCTAGAGGCAGTGCACACGACCAAAACGAACAGTGCACCTGGGCCAGACGGCGTCACTTATACGGCTCTCAAGAACCTCCCGGCTGCAGCTAAAGAGAGCTTGCTTGAAGAGTACAACCGAATATGGGATACAGGGGAGCTGCCCAGCCACTGGAAGCTGTCCTGGGTCACACCTATACCCAAGCCAGGAAAACCGCAAGATAAGATTGAAAACTTCAGGCCGGTCTCACTGACATCCAACGTATGCAAAACGATGGAGAAGATAGTACTGCGTAGAATTCAGTGGTACCTGGAGACTTACGACAGACTTGATGCCAGGCAGACTGGTTTCAGGGAGGCAATGGGCACCCAGGACAGTCTAAAACTCCTTTACGAGGAAGTGATGGCCGACAAAGATGCGATAGACCCAAGGCTTATTGTAGCGCTGGATATCAAGAAGGCATTTGATGAGGTTCCTCACTGGGCAGTCATTCAAGGTGCCAAAGACTGTGGTATGAGGGGTAAAACGCTTCGGTTTATACGTAGCTTCCTCACAGACAGAAAGTTTCAAGTGAAAATCGGAAAAACAAGGGGACCAGAGATGTCCAACAGCAAGGGGGTCCCGCAAGGGGCTGTAATATCACCAACCCTCTTTAACATGGTGATGGCTGGTCTTCCAGCCAGACTCAGACGCGTTACGGGCCTTGGATTTACTATATATGCCGACGACATCACCTTATGGACAAAGGGAGGAGCAATGGCTAACCAGGAACAAACCATGCAGCAAGGGATAGATGAAGTCCTCGAGTATCTCCAGAATGTCGGCATGCAAGCGTCGCCTGAAAAGACTCAATTCATGGTCGTGGCCAGGCCGAGAGATCATCGAAAAGGCGTCGCGGACCAAGTAGACTTACACATCCAAGGACAGAAAATAAAGAGAGAAAAGCAAATAAAGATACTCGGCGTGACGTTCGAAGAAACCGCCCGCAGTACGAAATGGTTACCAGCTCTAGAAAAATCATGGGGACAGACTCTAAAGCTCGTGCGAAAGACGACATCCAAGTCCTGGGGAGCCGATGAAGACACAATCAGGATTTTGACAAACGCGCTACTAACGGCTAAGGCGCTATATAGCTGTAATTGGCTCAACCTAACCAAAACGCAATGGAAGCGATTAGAACGACTAAATCACCGCACCATGAGACTTGTCACTGGACTTCCCAATTATACAGCCCTGGAAGACCTAAAGAATAATGCAGGAATGAACCAGATTCAAGACCGAGCGGAGGTGCAGAGCATAGCGCACTTTCAAAGGCTTGAGAGAACGAACCACGGCAGAAAGCTACTTGAAATCATGGGCTACGAGGCAGAGGGGAGACCTCCATTGGAAGACCCAGCACCACCGTGGCAAGACACAAACATCGTTGATCATCGACCCCTGCCCAGGACGCATAACCAAGGACGCAGAGCACGAGCGGCAACACAACACGCTAAGTGGTGCGACGAACACGCGCACGGAGAGGAAATCAGATACACGGACGCATCCAAGACTGACATAACCACGGTCACGGCTTGGATCGACCCCAAGACAGGGAGAGAAAGCACCACGAGACTACCGGAGAACTCCTCCGTGCGTGAAGCAGAACTCAGGGCAATCCTTGAAGCGACCATCGATATACTGAAAAATACGGAAGGACCAAGGAGAGCGAGAATTTTTACTGATTCACAAGAAGCACTCCGGGCGTGTCGAGACAGCAAACCCAAAAGCAGAACGGCCAAGAGAATTAAAGCGATTGCCAGAGAGCTAAAAGCGAAGGGCATCGTGCTGACATTAGAGTGGATTCCGGGCCATGCGCAGATTCCCGGGAACGAGTGGGCTCACCGAGTCGCAGCGGAGGCAGCCAGCAGCAACAGCTCCGCGACAGGCTCAACCACTCGGGAGGACAACGAGGAAACGGAAGACCCTATGGAGCAGGCCGCACTGGCAAGACAAGCTAGGAAAGCCTACCTCAGGGGACTCGTACCGACAGAAGAAGACCCACTACCAAATGGATATCGAAGATGGGAAGCGACCAGACTTCGGAGAATCAGAACCGGCACTGCACTAACGCCCGCCAAACTGGCAGCCTTTGGGCTACTGGAGGAAGAAGACCCTATCTGCAAGGCCTGCAGAGAAAATAAGGTGGCAGGTATCAAGCACTTACTGTGGGAGTGCAAAGGCCTGGAAGCCCACAGAAAAACGGCGTGGGAAAAATTACCCGCTCAGGACGAACCAAGGAGGCTTAGCGACTGGACTCACCCCAGAGGCCAGGAGCAGCACCGAAAGGCGATCCTAGACTCCCTGGTTGAATTCATCAGGGAATCTGGGGTTCATCAATTCATTTAATAGCACCATAGTCATCCACATCCCCTCCTTATAACCCTCCATCCCCACCCCCTCGTCTCAGAGCACACCACTCATAGACGGGAATTCTATCATATATAATAAACATGTTCTCTCTCTCTCTCTCTCACATATATGGATGTGATCAAGCTCTTCACAGGGCGATATGTTTTAATCGAAACAGATTTGTAGAAGGCGCAAGCACAAGCTAGCCGCTTTCCCAGCCACCAGCCTGAGCACGTACAATGACAATGACAGTTTACTCCTACTTGTCACTTGTCAGCTTCTTTCATTCAAAATTTGCTGTATACATAACCGATTACTCACTCCGAGCTTAAAGGCCGACGACCAGACTAGAGGTTCTACAAGGCAGAAGATCCTCTTCACCGAGGGGGAAGAGGAAACAGGCAACGGTGGACAGGGTAGAAGGGGAAGAGAAGGAAGCGGGGGAAAGTGCATCACGCCTGCATCACGGTGCTGGGTGGAAACAATGTTTGGTTAGAAAAACAAGCATTGTGATTGCCGCTCAGTGTTTCTATAAAAAGATAGACTGAAAAGGCTTGTCCTAAAACATTCGTGACATTTTGAAAATTGTATTGCTTTTAGCTGAGTTGTGTTATCATATATGTATTGTGAAATGTATTTCGTAAACCATAGTTCTTGATATATATGGCGACGAATTGCCCATTTTATGATTTTATGCACTGTAATTTCATAGTTACAGGGCACAACAACGATTTAATTTTTATCACTGCTACGCAAAGTGGTACCAATCACGGGTATTTTATGCGACCTACCACACTTCGCGTAAATAGATCAGCTTGAACTTTACAACTATACTTAAACAGGAAGTAAGAAAGTACAGGATATATATAGTTCTAAAGTAGAAGCTTATTTACAAGTATGTACTACCAACAAGCTCAACATATTACTGTAATTTAAACATTTTGAATCAGGTAAAATATGTGTGACTCGGGTAAACAAAGGGATGTCGAGTCGTATAAACACGACATTTTGCATATTAATGTAAATTTTTTTCTGTTGCGTCAGAATTAAATAACGGAATTTTATATCTTTAGTACCTGAGAATAAACGTGGTTGTACGGACAATAGAAAGAAAACTATAGTTAATCGTTGCACGACGTAAATAGTGCCTATTGTGAGAACAACGCGGAAAATACCTTCTCAAGTTAGCGGTTCAAGCCGGTTCGAACAGGTTCAAACCGGTTTGAACCGTTATTTTTGCTCCCCGGAACTAAGCCGGAATTGAACCGAAAGCCGTGAACCCGAACCCGAACCAAAATTATAAAAGTTTTCGCCTCTCATTGATCCTATTTTTTGTGCGGAGCAGCAGACAGAAATCTCACACAGACCATTTTGTGGCAAAACGGCAAAACCGATCTCGGCGCGGTGTCAAGCCAAGGACTCGCGCCTCGAGTTGCCTTCGGTACAAGCTCGTGGAAACAGTGACAACAAGTGCTCTGGCTGGGCATTTGGTGCTGGTGTCGCCATCTCGTTGAACCCATTGAAAATAAAACCAGCGATAACTGCCCTGCCAAATTTATTTACACAAGTACGCCAATACCAAGACATTTACCGCCGAATTCAGAAACCTCACTCAAACCACACTCAAACTGAAGGGCCCCTCCACTTCCTCGAGGAAGGCGCGAGGGCCGGCGCTGGCCAATCGCGAGGACGGATCCGCCGTCGCGATTGGCCAGCGCCGGCCTTTGCGCCTTCCTCGAGGAAGTGGAGGGGCCCTTCAGTTTGAGTGTGGTTTGAGTGAGGTTTCTGAATTCGGCGGTTAGGCTTCCCGTCAGGGTCTTAAGACACCTCTAGTACGTCATACCATTCGCTTTGTCACTTTTATGATTTAAGTAAATTTAATTTCAAAATTGCCTCAAAACAGTCAAAATTGTCATATTTCTAGTATTTTATTAAAATCCCCAGCGCTCTCAGGAGAAAATCCAAGGGTCGTACGACTTTCATTACACGTTCCCCATAATGAACCTCAAAAATAAACAATACTCTGAGACATTCCTGAAACTCAGGTTTGTGTAGCAAAAGGTCCGGTGGTGTCTGCCAATGTCCCACCCGACGAAGCGGGTATTTCGGGTGTGACCAGACGATACGAGCCATTTCTATACTCGGCTAGCGCTCGGTGTACCCCCGTGAACAATATGAGCTACAAGGTCTCAACTTTCTCTGTCTTTGAGGTCTAATTTACGTAAAGCGTTACGAGTAATGGATTACTTGTAATCGATTACATTTTATTGTAATTTTGTAATGCTTCAATTACTTCCTTTAAGGAGTAACGACCCTTGTAATTGAGTTACTTTTTTGCTGTTCTCAGTTTATTTATTTATTTATTTATTTATTTTTTTTTTTTTTTTTTTGGGGGGGGGGGGGGGGAGGGGTTAGATATGGTGGAGTCACTCAGCTCTGAGCAAGGGTCCATTTTTTTTATCTTGTTTTGCGAAACTGCTTGTTTCGTTTCCTGGGCACATTCTTTTTTTTTTTTTTTGGTATACCAGAGATTACGTTTGGGTATGAAAAATGACCTTATCCAGCCTCTTGTGACTAACGTATTTCAACAGCGCTCCTTTTATTTTATTTAATTTCACGAAAGGGATTGGGTGTGTTGGCGCACGTCACTCACTCGGCTCTAAGCAAAAACGGTCAAGGCTTTCCTTTTTTTTTCCGGAACAAGTGAGCGCGCGAGACCCCGAGAATTATGTTACCGTAATGAAAAAAGTTGATTGAAAAGTAACGTGGGAAGTAGTCGATTACTTTAGAGTAATTTTTCGATTACTTTTTTGAGGCTGTAATTGTAATTGTAATCGGTTACTTTTTTAAGTGAAGTAATTGTAATAGGCCTTATTCAGATTCGCGCGCCATCTATCGGACGTGGCGCCAACCTTCCTTCCGACGCCATCTTTGAGGCAACTGGCAAAGCGTTGTGGCCGTTCGCGGCGCGTGAAAGCGACGCTCAGCGACCACACGACTGCCCTGTTCCTCTATCGTATTCATCAAGGAAATAAAATGAAAAACAACCAATATAAAGATTCAAATCCTATTGTATTCTTTTCAAGTTAAAGGTATTATAGCCAACGTTTTAATAGCCGTAGCGCTTTCCTGCACTATTCATGCTCCTATAGTAAGCCACCCGCGCGTTAGTGTTGTGTGCTTTTACGAGGCTTTTAAACCGCTTTTAATATATGACACTTTTCACAATGGCATGAAGGGCTCATGATATTGGCATGTAACAACAGCGGGTATCTCTTATTTGATGTGATTTTTTGGGAGCTCGATGTTGGCTAGCATCGTAGCTTCGTTCGCGCAGAGGAACGGCGAGGTCCAGTCAACATCACTCAGATACACTGGTTCGAGATTGTTTTTTTTTTCTTATTCTCGCTCAAGTAAGTCTTACATCCAATTGAAGGCTGATGCAAAGTGCAGAAGAGCTTGGCAAGGTTACAACTTCGTTTAACACATGAATGATAAAGACAACGATGCTGAAAAGCAAAGGTGAACGCCCGCTTACTTTACGCTGTATCATTATTATCACGCGACTCTTACATTTCGAGAAACATTTCCGAGATGTAGACGAAAGCGTACGAGCGGGCTCTTCTTGACTGCTAACCTGGACCTGTTGGCGAGTTCAACAGTCGCGCTTGCTCGCTTCCCAACAAATCGGGCTCGCGCTGCGGGAGGAGCTTTTCTCTTTGGAGCCAATACTGCAAGCAGCCACTTTTATGAGCACTGGTCATATTCTATTGCTAGTAAACATGAAATTTTACTCTATGTAACCGCGCTACCAGGAGGAGCACATTAAAATGTCGCTGACATTTATTAATGCATTTTCTCTCAAGGGGCCAAGGAGTATATATGCGCTTGTACTGAATTTATTTGTTGGTACTGTTATTATGATTATAAAAGAAAAAATGTTCCAACTTTCCGTGAAATCGCTTCTTTTTTTTTTCATACGTTATATTCCGCATACTTGCATTGCCGCGACACGCCTGTCATTTCCTTTTACGCTTTTGTGCTTCGCATACGCTTTGGTCAGCATGCTAGTGTAGATCTTCAGCGTTTTCTTTTTTTCCTGGGATAAAAAATATTACTATCGTAAATTCGTGATATATGACACGTTCTCCTTATAATGATGTTTTGAGCTACCATTCGATGATCTCCCCAAAAAACTAAATAAAAATCGATGTAATATATTTGTTTTCATGCCTTTTTTTTGTGTGTGTACGTGTGCGTGTGCGTGTGCGTGCGTGTGCGTGCGTGTGTGTGCATGTGCGTGCGTGTGCGTGTGCGTGTGCGTGAGCGTGTGCGTGTGGAATCGTATCTTCAATGTTCCTAAGGTTAAGACAACGGGAACAAAAATTTAATGTTCAAGGCCGCAATCATAGAATTTTGCAATTCGGGTCTGCACACACTGGGCCAATGCGCACTGGGTGAAGAACGCCTCGCATTATTTAGACCCGCAGCCGCAAATGCCATATAAAAACAAACTGTCACACAGTAGCTGACGGCTCTGCTAAATATATCATATAAATCGTCCTTGTGCGAACAGGCATAATTGGCGGATCAGGCAACTTAACGCACGATCCTAAAACAAGTGCGTGAGTCGGCCTGCTCTGGTGCTGGAATGAAGCTCATTTTTATAAAAAAGAGATTCTTAGTGAAACCACTGAAAACAAACTTGAGCTTAGTATTCGCAAGGTATTCTCGAGCAACCAACACCATCAATATACAAAAAAAAAAAAAAAAAAAAAAAAAGTAACAGCGCAGGAACATGCATGAACGCAACGCGAAGAGAGGGGTTCGACTGTGGCGGGCGGCGGGGAGGCGAAGCCTCAAAGATGGCACCGAACCTCTGATAGTACGCGTGGCCGCCGAGAGATGGCACTAATAATGAATAAGGTCTATTGTAATCGGTTACTTTTTTTCTGTAACGTGTACAAGTCTGGGTCTAAATAAGCTGAAATTACATCTCGATTTGTCAAAGAGTTCAAAGAACGTGACCTAAACTTGGTGTTTCAGCCCTAGTCAGAGCCAAAGCTTCCCCGAATATTGACAGGTATGACATTGTGAAACCATATTGTCCGCGGTAGTACGCAACATGATTGAAGAGACGTTTGGACAGAACATGTTCCAACATTTCGCAACCTGCGCAGGTAAGGAAGCGAACGGTTTAGTCTCCAACGCATGCTCCAACGTTAGTTCGCGAGCGCGCACCGCTGGAGCCGTCCAGGGGTGCCACGGCAAGACCCACCACGCGCCACGATGCGTCGTGCGGCGTTTCTTCGACTTTTCCAAGCAACCCGGGACGACCTAAAGGTCAGGCCGCTGGGCTCCCTTCTGGTCCGCTTTTTCTGTCGCGAACCGATTGTCGGACGGAACGATTCGATATGGCAGACTGCTTACACTGCGTCGGATGGCAGGAGCACGACCCTACAACTTGCTGCCAGTTTGCCGGACAACAATGACTTATGCATCTAGCCCATCGTCAGAAAGGATCCGAAAGCGAGCGAAAGATGACAGCCAGATGTTCGGACACGCGTTCCACATAGCGTTCAAAAAAACAAAAAAAAAAAAACAAAAAAACAAGACAAATCAATTATAAATATTATCAAGCGTGTTCTTTAAGTGTTTCGGCACCCAGGTTTAATAAAAAAAATACCTCGATGTTATACATAACGATCAAAATCAGTTAGAGATTTCTCCACACATGGACGTGATGAGGAATCTTTAACTGATTTCAGTTAATTGAGGTAATTAGATAATCATCACATCACGCTCGTTCTCTTACGTCTGGTGGCTAACGTCATCTCGAAGGAATCATTTATTTATTTAAAGTATAAATCTATTTAAAATGATCTTCACTTTCCAGAGAAACACTTTGTACATTTGAGTAGGATGGGGCTCACAGACACATCAGTTACAATGAAAAGTAATTAAATAATTAAATAAAGGCAACAGAAACAAGAATTACTGACCACGTGCATATTATGAAAACTATATTCAAGAAAGACATTTGCGAGTTACACACATTAGAACGAAATAAACAAAGCGACTTGAACACACTGAAAAAATGAATGGAAATAAAACACGGACTTTTGAGGTGCTGGCGAAAGTCCATTTGTTTCGTTTCCATACAATTTTTCACTGACAACTACAAGTAAAATATTTGACCTACTTCAATTACTTAAGCAAGTAATTAAGCTTAGATGCTATTTAATGGATTGCACAGGAAAGCACTTGAGACTGGGAATGATTATTTTTTAAGATTTGTTAGCTGTTCGCACTCTGACATCCATGGTATTACAGGGCAGACACACTGTAGTTGACGAGCGCGAGCTATGTTCGTTACAGCTCAGGAGCAGTTCATCCCATAAAGTGCCATCACCACTTTTAGCGTCTTTGGAGAGACTTCAGCGCGAGCAGCAGTTAGGAGAATTGTTGAAACGCTGGAGGTGGTGAGGAGACTAGTTAAGGGAGACTTTTCTTTTTCTTAACAGACAACGGACTATTGTGTGGTACTTGTAATAAATGATCTTTTCAGGTTCTAAGTGTCCGTCTCGCGCCAAACACTATCTGGGAGGTAAATATGTGGCTGCTCCAACTGAAAACGCGGAAGAACCATTGTTCTGTTCTGAATAACATGAAATGGCCGATGTCTGTTCCTCCTCATCCATGGAGGTCTCGTGCAATCACAGTTAAAAACTTTGCCGTTTGTGAGGGTATAATTGCCAGTAAGCAGAGCAAAAGGGCGGACCAAATACAATAAAGCCACATACACAGAAAAACTCGAATGTTGGCTACGCATGACGGCGTTGTTAACCTACTATGTCAGCTGCATCTCCGTCCTCCAGTCGGCCTTCCAGGAAGATGCGCCTTCCAAGCGCTGCTCGCCTCTACCTTCTGGTATCTGCGAGCGGTAGCGCCCTCAGCTTTCGCAGCCCGAGCGGCGCAGCCAGTTACACCGCATTTCCAGCGTTTCTGGCCGCCCCACTGCAGCATCCTGCGGCTACTGGTTGACGGTGTAGATGAGCGCGTTGTCCGTGCACAGCCTGTACGCGTGCCAGCAGGCAAGCAGGAAGCCCATGAAGTGAAGGCAAAGTAGCACAATGGCCGTGGCTCCGACGGTCACCATGCTGTCTCGGAAGTGGACTTCGAGGCGACCGTCGCACGAGGCCCTATGGACACCGCGCCCGTGGCACCCGTATGACGGGCAGCACGACTCGGGCACGGGGAGGCCGCGGGCCCGATAGTCGTGCTGGCCGTGGGGGCCCCCGCAGCATTGCAGGGAGCGCTGCACGCCGTCTAGCCCCGTGCCCTGGCAGGCGTCCAGGTCACGCAGCACGGCGGCCCTCAGGTGCGGGCCGATCACATGGCGGTACTCAAAGGACGCGATGGCGGCGCCCACTTCGCAAGCCACCAGGGAGCCCAGGAGGACGCAGAAGAGTCCCAGGGGACGGGGGCCATCGCGGAGGAGCGCCACGGCGAGCAGTCCGGTCAGCGGGAAGGACAGCACGCCCATGACAATGAGGATGACCGGCGTGCCCACTCTTCCCGCGTAGAAGGCCGAGTAGGGGAGCAGCTGCACGTGCACGCAGCTGCCCACCGCGATCAGGGCCACGCCGGCGAGAAGCAGGGAGCAACCGAAGGCCGCGAGCACCAACCTTAACCCGGCGAGCATGGCGGCAGGACGACGCGCGACTGACGATCGACGTCGCGGCGGCGGTGTCGTGCCTGCCCGAACGGGCTTCTTCGCTCAGCGACCTCGCTGCATGTCGTGCTCCAGTTTTCGCCCGCTGACGAGCCGTGACCGCGATGCCAGCAACTCTGCGGCCAACGAGGAGCGCTCTATGTGCCACCTTCGAGCACCGGGAGAGCACCCTGGGCCTGCGAGCGACTCTTGAGAGTCGTGTCTTCGAAGTTGCCACCCGACATTTGCGCGGGGAACGCAACCACTATTGTTCGTTTTGGGCAGCCGTCACGTAAGTTGCTTCGACTGGATAGCCGCGGCTCTACGACACGTGTTAGTAGTGACAGGTCAATAGAAACAATCGTGTCGCAAGAACAGTCCCTTGATAGTTCACAAGTGCAAGCAATGTATTTTTTATATATATCTTTTATGCGCATTGAAAGCGGAAGTGTTGCCGCTCCCAGGCTTGCATAACCCAGCAGTGTCTATACCTCATTCCACTAAAGGGCTCGCCGCTCATGGCAATGCCTATTTAAATGTTGGTGTGATTTGTTTTTTTTTTTTCTTTTTTGCGTGGTTCCTCTTTTTGACATACAAGGACGTAACCTAGCGATGCTTGACTATACCATCTTCGCACACAGAGCCGGGACTTCTTGTAAACAGTAAAATGGTCTATTCGGACGAGTATTCAGTAAGAAAATTCCACGAACTTATTTTAGTAATATAATAAATTAGCTTGGTATTTTGTAAAACCTGCTCATTTGCACTAGACGAGGCTATTTGTGTGCAAATACGGGCTTCTAAAGGACAACTCCGGCCAAAACTCGAACCAAAGTAAATGATTGATATCGATTTACGGGGACTAAATACGATTAATGAAAAAATAGTCAGAGTGCAGACGATCTGATGTAAGTTGAACATGATGGTAAACTTCAGACTGGGGTTGGAAAACGGAGAACATGAAGGAAGATTCCAAGTCAGGAGGTCCAACGAGTCAAAATATCCAATGCGTCAAAAGATTCATTATTGGACCTCCTGACCCGTTGGACCACTTGACGTGTTGGACCTCTTGACTCGCCATGGATCTTTTGAAACGTTGGATCTTTTGACTTGTTGGACCTCTTGACCCACATTGGATATCTTGACTTGTGTTTGACGAGTCAGGAGGTCCAACAGAGACTCATTATTGAATCTTTTGACTAGATGGACCTCTTGACTCCCTGTCCGATCACCGGAAAAGGGGGGGGGGGGGGGCGCTTATGGTCAAAACATCCAACAGGTCATAACGTCGAACGAGTCAAAACATTCATTAGGTCACGTGACACAAGAGTCAAAACATCCAACGCGTCAAGACATGAATCGGAGTCGAAACATCTATAGAGTCAAAACTTCTATCGAGTCAGAACATCCATCCGGAGGCTTGAGAGACGGGGATTTTGAATATTTGGAAGATATATATACTATTTTTGTTGAGTTGAGTCACTAATTGTATAGATGGCTATCATATCGTTTTTAACCTTCCTTTTTAAGTCTGTATGCGTGGATGTATGCATAATGTAATGAATTGTGCGCATGATTTTTGTTTTGTACTTAAGTGGCCTAATACAAAGACTTCGGTCGTTTTGAGGCACAAAGAACTAAATAAATAATTAAATAAATAAATGATAAGATAATGCTCGTACTTTGAGTAATCTGCCCAGCATCTTAACAACCTCTGAAATTGAAAACATTCGTCAAAGACATCTGGGGCTAGTTTGAGAACGACGGACAACGCACCACCAACATGGTGGAAGGGTTGCATAACGGACTGCACAACCGGCTGACGAGTCGTCAACCAGACTTCACTGAATTCATACAGTTCCTGCAAGTTATCCAGCATTCCTCGCAAAATAGGATCCAGGCACAGCTCTTGGATCCCCTCGCGGCGGCGTCTGCACCGGCGGTTCAAGTGACCAAACGTAAAAAGCGGCTGCAGGATGAGATGGCTATGTCATCGTGCCACATTGGCGACTGCAGTTCCGACCTTTGAAGACGTGCTCAACTACTTCGACAGGATTTCAAAGATTGGAGTTCTTCCATAGAACGAACCGACTAGTACGTGAGCCGGCTTGCCTGAAAATGAGTAAGTTTTATTGATGTATATGCTTGTGCCCACAATAAACAGTTTTAAATGCCTCGGCCAATACTGGCGTTTTACTCAACGACCTTTCACAAAATATCATAGCGTCGCATCTCGGAGTGAAAGTCGGGGCACAAAGTATACTCCGTTAACACCTTGGCCTAGAGTGCGGCGCAAGCGCTGTGGAAGCCATCTCTTCTCAAGTGCAACCAATGGCATGCTTCTTCTAGCTTGACACTGTTCTCTGCGCGTGAGCATCACTCTAAGAAAAAAGTTGGCCTCAAGGGACTAACGGCAGCATTTGGTCCTCTGAACTTCCAGTTGCTCCCCGTAAGGACCATCTGGTTCAAGCTAGGTACCGCGCGCAAAAGCTGGGGACTAACAGCGCTCGACTGGAACTAACCGATAGGCCTGCGCGAGCAAAAGCATCCATTAGTCCCCCTCAGACAGGGTGCATCTGTAGGATTTAGTCCCCGAAGGCAAACGGAATGTTCGCCAGGAGGACGGATCATATTTCGCTCGTCTTGGGGATCGGCGAGACTCTGCCCAGCACGGCTGAAAGTGATGACAAAACTCGGACGAAACTAGCGAATTTGTTTAATGTGCCACGAACGTTCAGACATTACATGGTAGAGCTTCGCGCGTAGTTCGAATGCGAGTTAACGAAAGTGTTGACTCTACTTCACCCAACCATCTCGTCAAAAATAATCTCTTGACATTTCACAAGTCCCATTCACTTAACTTGCCTTCGCGCAAAAAAAAATGAGCATTAATCCAAACGCAACACCTCCGAATACTAGCACTTTTTTTTTTTCTTAAATGAAACTTAAGAGTTCGTAGAAGACGCGCTTTCAACACCAGAGTCTCGCAGTCAGAATAAATGGTCACTTCACTCGCTAAAACTGAGTTACTAAGAACAGGTCGGGCCTCGTCTCTGCGTCTCTCCGTAACTAACCTTTCTTGGTAGTCCAATGTTGAACTCAAAATCCGCACTGACACACTTGATGCACGGCACGTTCCACTTAAACAGCACATTCAGGGGCAGTATCCAGACGCCTTCATGCCATCGTCGTCGATGTTTCACATAACATTCCAGATGAACAACGGAGAACGAACCGCGCCCGGACGTCATTCATGACAACACCCTGCTAATACAAAACAAATGCGAAAAAAAAGGCCCCCGAGAAAATTGAAGAGAGAGAGAGAGGGAGAGAAAACAAAAAAAAAGAAAAGCGTGCTTGCTTGTACGTCACTTGACCGGCGTGTTGAAAATGGCGAACATAATCCCTGGAGAAGGCGAACCTTCGACCTTCTCCCGTCCTTCGGGCATTGGTGTCGTGTCATGTGTGTCGTGTGTAGTGAAAGGGGGAAGAGAGATTTTCGGGGAAAAGAGATTTCCCTTCCCCTTCCCATCAACCCCCTCCCCCGCATTCCTCGCTCCCGCAGGGGGCAGGGCAGATGGGCCAGAGAGGGTCCGTCGGGCAAATGGGAAGGGGTCTTTGTTTGAAAAGAACCTGTTTTAGTATAGCCTTCGTCAGGACTTAGAAGCTGGTCGTCTCCGATCATTGTGAAATCCGGTTTGGAATCGCGGTGCTGCAACGCTGCACTTGATCTGTTCTGAAGTCCCAAGACAAGGGAACTCGATTAAGGTATGTCAAAGTACTTCTGTTTATGGTATATTCACTAACTGCGGCGTCAGAAAGTGTTTTAGTTTGAGCGCGGTCTCTAGCTTCCAAAGCACGCGCCATGCTCTATTCTTTTTGGCACTATGGTTGCTTATTTTGTTACGCAGCACAGAGACCTGATATTCAATCGTATCGAGCAAAACTCCAGTTCTACCGATCGCTTATTTTTTGTGTTTTGCAGACCCTGGCAGGATCGTTTTACCATAAAGGCCTCTTTACATATGCAGCTGAGAGCTACAAGCATAGCGCTGACCTAGCGCTAAACGCGTGCTGACGGGAGCTTTCACCAGCTGTGTATCACACCGTCAAAACTGTTGCTCATGGCAGACGAAAAGCAGCTCACGACACGTGAGCAGCTCTACTTCAGCGCTTCGCTGCGTGTGAGAACCGGCCTTAATGGAGACATTCATTCGGTTGTACAGACTTCCCGTTGATGGCGGGAGCTCGTTCCGTCACTTTGAAGCATAGTTTGGGCACGCACACGCTGGGTCTGTAATTCGCAGCGAACGGTCTACTAAAAATATAATATTGCGCTGGTCTGCTGTCAACAGATCGCATGTTAGATGTGAACCATTGTAGCACTTTTGTAGCCTATTTGTTATTTTAATATGTGTGTGTTATATCTCATACTTTTGCTGAGCGATCGGGTATTTCATGCTGCCCCTGTTGCTAATAATCCAAATTCCTCGCAAACAGGCAAGAAGCTGCAGGTGCCCCAATAAACGGTGCTTGGACCACGACCGGTTTGAACAGCCGTCCCAGTGTTCAAGCCATCGTCGACGCAAGTGCACTCTTCGGAATCTGGCCTTATCGTGGAGTCTACCGCTCAGGAATTTTGACTTTAGTCATCCTTGAATGCGATGTGTATTTACGAGGCAATAAAGCTACGTTTAACCTGAACTGGACGATTTCGTTTTGGTGATTTGTGGCTGGGGACCAAATGCAAAGGTTGAACCTTTAGTCCCAGGGGTCTAAATCCAACGGCGCAACGTTTAGACCCAGGGGTTCAAGTGCAAGGGCCTAACGGTTGGTCCTCGGGGTTCATTTGAAACGGTGTAACAGTTAGTCCTTGGGGTCGAAGTGCAAGGGCCTAACAGTTCGTCCTCGGGGTTCAATTAAAACGGTGTAACAATTGGTCCCAGGAGACCTAGTGCAAGGGCCTAACAGTTGGTCTTCGAGGTACAATT